GAGATGAACTTAACTACAAACCATTTTTAATAACATGAACAAGCATTTACAAATATTAAAAACAAAATACAAGAAAAGAAGAAAAGAAAACACCAAAAATGAGATTCCTAAATGTTCTTCTCGCTCTTTTGATTCTCTCCATCGACAATGCAGTCCTTAATCCTCTTCTCAGTCATAGAATTCCTCACTAATTTGCTCTTATAACACACACTTACACTTGACACTCTCACCACAACCCCCACACAATGAGAAATCCTCCCTCAACCCCTTTAAACATCCCTTTTATAGAATTTCTATTCAAATTTTTATCAAAATTGTCAAAGTAAGAGGCAAACCACCTCTGGTCGTGTGGTAGCATCATGGTGCCAAAATGGACATTAGGGTGATAACTTCTGGAGTCGAAGTGCCAATCTCTCAGGTTTGTTGTATCAATATTCTGTAGGATTTGGCATAAGGTTGCTACAATCATGGTGATGAGGCGCTAAAATGCCAACACTTAGGTGTTGAACAATGACATTGAGGCTCCAAGCTCTCAGTTTTTTGGCCTCTTTTTGTAGCATCTAGTGCCTAAGGACTCAATTCATAGGGCTATCGTGTTGTAGCTCTTGCGTCGAGGCACCACATATGATTTGGACATTTTTTCAAATTACTTATGTACTACAACAATCTCTTTAAAACACATTAAGAATATCAACTAAAAACCAAATTTTACACATAATATACTTAATGATGTTTTTAAACACTTAACAAAATGTCAGTATGTTCTCATAAAATATCATGTCAAAGTAAAAATTTTAAATATATTAAAAAAATCAATTATATAACTTATTATTTTTAAATAATATGGTTAACTTTTATATTATTCTTATAAATCTTAATGTAAAATTTCTTAAATTTATGATAGAAAAAATATTACAAAATAGCTCCTATTTTTATTTAGATTTATAAGTGTCACTTCTAAAGCTTGAGCTTAAGGTTGAAAGATTAAATGATAAATCTATTAATTCTAAAGCTTTGTAAAATTTAAAAAATATTTTATACAAAGTTTTTGATCATCTATTTTGATCAATGTTATTGGATGATCTATTATAGCTCATGCTGTCAATTAAACCTCAAAAAAATATTTTTTATCATCAAAATAAGCTCAAGCTAATAATGGGTTCATAGAGTCGACAAATAGAACTTATGATCTTATGGGAATCTTATGGGATTAAGAAGCTCAACATATCTCTTCTATAGAGTAAAGAAGATATAAAAATGTGTGGGATGAAACTTATAGCTTGATCACATATGATTAAGAAGCTTAAATATCTCCTCTCTATGGTCAACAGGCTATATAGACATAAATATAGAATTTTTAGCTTGATGAGATGTGATAAAGAAACTCTCTTATATAGAGTAAAGAAGATATAAAAATGTGTGGGATGAAACTTATAGCTTGATCACATATGATTAAGAAGCTTAAATATCTCCTCTCTATGAATATATAAATATATATATATATATATATATATATATATATATATATGAAGATGAGACTTATAGCTTGATCACATAAGATTAAGATGCTTAACAAATCTCTTTACGATTATAAAAAACATAAGAAACATATAGAAGGATGTACTTGAAACTTAATATTAATTATGGGAGTAGGCAAGCTTAAATATCTTCTCTAAAGTGGGAATGATATAAGATATTTACGTGTGACAAAAAAAAAGCCAAAGAATCTTCTCAGTATGACATTAGAGATTCACAAAGATGAAACATATGAGACTTAAAGCTTGATGATTGAGATCAAGCATTTGTAACCAAAAAATGAGACTTCCAACTTAATCATGTGCAACAAGAAAAGCGAAAGATCATCTTGATCTGTTAAAAAAGATATTAGCCAAAATTTATATCTGGTCTATGTTATGAATACTAGATAACCACCTAATCACATGTAAAAGAGGAAAGGTTAGTCAAACCATGATGGGGAAGAGAAAGGAAGATACCTTTAATATGATTAAATGGAGTTAGCCTAAAAGTAATGCCTCTAGATCGCCTATCCTAACATAGATTCTAGATTATTCGTAGACTCATAAGGTCATGATATGATATAGATGTCAATGACAATATAGGTTCACATGTCATATGTTTTTACCCAACATGATGAGGCCACATGTTTAATCACTCCTAATAGTACTATACACAATGTGTGTTTTCATTGTTAGTATGTCTCGGTTATAAGTGACATATGGTTTAAAACTCCAATCACCAATCAGGCAGTGCCAATCACAAAGTATCAATAAGAAAAAATGAGCATGATGTAAAGCCACAAATGATAGGTAGGAGACTGAATAATTTTTTTAAACTATGTTTCATTTTGAGATTTGCTATTAAGGGTGTCTCCTGCAAAGCAAATGCTCATGGAATATGATAAATATGTTAGGTACTGAGACATGAAACTACATTATTATATATCAAAAATGCTGACAAACAAGCGAACAACATTTATATTTATATTTGTCTTACTTTTAAAATGATTTTAATTTTATTTTCATAGTAGCTCTTTTGTTTTTATTGGATGATTATTTATATTATTAGATGATAGAGATTAAAAATTTAAAACTGTCATCCGACCTTCTATTCCCACCTTGATAATTTGAAGTCATGGTAAATGTCTAATAATGTTAATAACGAGTATCTGTATTAATTGACGACCAGGATGATCCAACTGTGACATTGAGAATAAGTATTGATTAAAAACCAAAATTAAGTGTTAGCCTACAGAGCTCTAAAATTCTCCAACTCCAGGAATTCTCTTCACTAAAAATTTTCTCAATAAATGTGTAAAAATAAAGCCTATTTATAAATTTTTGAATACGTCATATTGAACTATCCATCACAGCTCAAGTTGAACTCTTCAATTATTGATATTATTATCTCAATATTTTAATGAATACAAAGTTTAATGAACTCAAAATATTCAATTACTAAGACCTATGTTTTGCATCAATTTCTTTATTTAATCAAATAATAAAGGATGAAAAAATATTAACAATTAAAATATCATCTTAATAAAATAATCAATTTGTTAAGAGAGACTTCTTATCAAATCCAAATATATTAAAAAAAGCTAATTTATGAATGATTAGGAAATTTGTAAAAATCAGGCAGGATATGGAAACATAAAAATAACCTTCAAAGTTTAATGATTCTACTAGGATAGAATCAGACTTTATAATAAATATTAAAATTAAATTAATTTAATCGATATAATACTAATAATATAATTTCTAATTAAAAATTTGAAAATTGATATTTTATTCAGTTTCTCCAATTTAAATCTGAATCTCTTACATCTAGCAATCAGAAGAAAAAAAAAGCCAAAAATTCATCTTCATTGAAATCAATAGTCTTCAAAAGCAAATCCATTTCCAACAATTCAACAACTCAGCTTTTGATTTTGACCAGTTCTTTGTAGAAAAAAAAAAATTGGAAATTGCAATTTTTAAGGATGTGAAGACTCTAACAGAAAGCCAAATCCTTGAAAAATAAAAAGCACGTCAAATAAATAAACTAATAGATGGCAAATCTGAGGCTCCTCCGAAGTTTAGTTCCACCAATCTCTTTCAAAATCACAGGTGCATGTACATTGTTTTATGGGAAGTTAATTTTCCCTGTCAAGTTAAACTAAATTTTTTTTTAAAACAAGAACAAAGGTGGTCAATTATCTGATCAAAACCAAAAAATTAAATCAAACCGAGCCAAATCAATTTTAAAGGAAGTATTCAATTTTTTGTTTCAAAATATTGAATATTTAAAATTCAATTTTTTGGATCAATTTTAATATTCATTTAAGCAAAAGATTAAATATATTATAATTAAAAATTTTAATTTATTTGAAAGAAAATAAATAGAGTAATTTGTATGTATTCTAAATTAGTTTGAATTTTTAAATTTTAGAAGATAGTAAAGAAAGGAAAAATTAAAAAAAAAAAATCATTTTGGAATTTAAGTATTAATTATTTTAAGCCAAACACTAAATTTCAATTTGCTTCAAACCACATGAAGTAAACCATATTTTATATCTAATCAAGTTGAATCAGGTTGTAGCAAAAACCTAGCGATTCATTATTTATTTATTTATTTTGTTTCTTCTCATGTGGTTAATTTGTGAATCAAATCATCCAAATGAATCAATAGCAAACCCCTAACAAGAGCTAGTCTTATAGTCAACATACAAGGCTGATGTCAATCATCTTAATTTCTCTTTGTTTCCACATACACGATCCATCAATAAAATGAAAACGCATCAATTCTACCTTAAAGTTTAACAAAAGATACCCAAGTATAAATAGAGAGGATGATGATCACCTCACCTAGAACTAATCATTGCACGAGTGGAAGAAGTTGACCCTAGGCATTGTAATGGTAATGAAGCCACCATGTTTGCTCATGCCAAAAGCATGTTGGGCATCAATTCAATGACCATGGCCAATAATGGTAACAATCACTCTACTTGTTGAGCACTATTTACGTACAAAATACGCACACAGTTTTGCATGCGTACTCCTCGAAATAACCTTCCAATAACTCAGATATTGGAGGTTATTGGAATATAACATCTCAATAACCTCCCCAAATAACCTACCAATACATTCCGTGATTTTGCGCTCATATGTTTTACTGTTATTCGGAAGTTATGTCAGGTTATTTGAGGTGTTAACCCTAATAACACTGACAACCCTTTAACATCTTCCAAATAACATCAATATGCATGCAGTTCTGCGTGCTTACTCCACACATAAATATTTTTCTTGCTACAGTGATTAGCTCCGGTTAATTTTGTTCAACTCTGGCCGAAACAACTTGCATGATATAAGTCTCATTTTTTAAATGAATTTTTATGGTTGAAAGGTAGCCCTTCGGAAGAAAAAAATCTTAAAATTTGCAACATGTGGCTAAAATTACATATTTGAAAAAAAAAAACTATTTTTAAGGAACGGTAACGGACGAAAAATAAATGTATGAGACAAAAAATCACACAATGACTGCATATGTCACATCTTTTAACACGCTCAATGAATAAAATGAAATTGTCTATAGATGCTTGATTCGTTTTCAATAAGAAACGAAAATGTGATGCTGACCAACCCATATAAGGGATTACTGATTAGCGTAGTTTTTTATTTTTTTTTGGCAAAATTGAATAAAAATGAGAGTAAAAAACAACCTTTAATGGAGGGCGTATGGTTAATTACGAAAACTTCCAACTTGGCGAAAATCTGCATAGGCAAACAAAATTTTTTGGCAAAATTGAATAAAAATGAGAGTAAAAAAACAACCTTTAATGGAAGGCGTATGATTAATTGCGATAACTTCGAACTTGGCGAAAATCTGCACAGGCAAACAAAATAAAAATGATATTAGATAACATCAAAGGCATGTTAAAGATCAAACTAATTCTATTAACCTCAAAAAAATGGAGAGGGATAGAGTTTGAAAGCTGATATCTATTCTACAGGCCAAAACGAGTAGGGCAATATACTCTAGCACCATCAGTGCGAAAAGCAAACTATATAGCAATTAAAATCCATGAACAAGATTTCCAGGAAGAGCAGTAACGAAATGGTACAATCCAAAAACAAATAACAAATTTTAATATTAGATATGATAGAGCCATAGAATTAAAGTAAGATATGCAGAAGATTACTTTGTGAAATGTTCCCAGTAAGGTGATTGAAACTTTTCACATAGACAACGACAGGAAAAGTGAAAGATAAGTCAATACAGCTTAACTTCGGATATCTTAAAATATATTTATCAGCACAAGAATGTTTTAGAAGACGATTAGACAGTGAGGCAGGTTTAAACTACCAAGTAGATGCCACTGGACAGCGACGAAGTGCCAACGTTGATCTCAACCACTTAAGCAGCATGTATGCATTTATTCCTGAATATCAGACAACTGTGCTTAGTTTCAAGTTTTAACCATCTGCATATTTGACAACGATGCCACAGCCCATAGAAAACTTACTTGAAGAGTTTGTTTGATGTTTTTTGATTTTAATGGATGGGCCGTATGGTCTATTCATCTTCACTTCCAAAGTAAGCATCATCGGTTCCAAAATATCTATCTCCAAACTCACCCATGCCCGGAATAACTCGAAAATCCTCATTCAAACCTTGCTCTATCTCTGATGTCACAATCTTGATTCTGGGGAACTTTTTACACACAACATGAACTCCTTGAGGCGCCTGCATAAGCAGAAATAGAGTCGTTTCAGTAATCAGCATTTGCTAATCCTTCATAAATATACAAGTATAATCAGCATAATGAAGCTAGGAAAAGAGAATTCATACAAAAGTGAATTGACTCCATAACTAAAGTACAGCATTATTGAGATTGATCCCACAGGAATTATGAAAATGTTGTCTTTCCCATTTATTATCCATGAAGATAAGGCCTCGACGCAAACAATGCATTAAAATATTTATTGACAAAAATGTTACCTTGTTTTGACGGTTGAGTTTTATCTTGATTTTATAGATAAGTGAAGCCACCACCCTTGACTTTTAAGAATTTTTGTCTTATGACTTCCGAAACCTCATTTGCTAATGTAAGGAACATACAGATTCCAGAGCATCAAGCAACATGGATTTCCAGAGATGTGACATGATTATGGAGTCTGCTTCTCCCCAAAGTGTGAACTTAGGGTCAGCAGGATCTAGAGAGGGATAATTAAGTCGTGAAAATTCCCTTTACAATGTAGGAAGGTCTCACACTCTGAAATAATTTAATATAATTTTTTACAGTAATACCCATAGTTTTCCTTTGATTGGATTGGCCATATACTCACCATTCAAGCTAGTTGACAAATATTATTAAAATTCGTAAACATGGAAAAATAAGAGAAAGCAAGAAAAAAAGGTTGAAAAAACATAGTTTAAAATTGAAACTTTATTCTAGTGCTTTGATGTTATGTAGAAAATTGGAGAACGGTAAAAGCTTGCTTCATTAGCATACATTCAAAGGGTATTATATACATAAAGCTGTCTATGCTATCCTAATAATTTATATAATACTATGAAAAAAACTATATTCACAATACTTTGAAATTTCAGAAACACTCCAAAGAACTTCACATTTTCCAAGTTGCAGGCGCCAACAAGCCTTCTTTGTTTGTTCAAATCCGTGATTTGCGTGCTGAATCTGTGGGATTAGTGTTTTCTTATCTTCCGTGCTGTCAGATCCTTTCAGGCAAAAACCCTAAGAATAAATTCCCAATTTCCACATACTTTTATCGCCAGCAAGTGGACCCTTTATTGTTGATGTAATTGCTTGCTAATATCTAAAAATATTTGCCGCCTGCCCTTTTCTGCAGCTAGCAGATCTTTTTGGGTGTCTGTATTCTTCAACACATGTCTATCTATGGGGCTATCTTTTCAAGTCCAATCCATGATATCATTGTATAAATCAGAAGATTAACATTTTTGCGTTAATAAATCAATGCTTACATAGGTTGTGTTGTGTGTGATAAGATTATATCTCTTCATTGTATCTTGAGTTGTAGGGGTGCACAACCTTCTGCGCAAGGTAGAGGGAGGACAAGAAATGCGTAGCCTCGAGCCCTAGCAATTGTTATTGGCCGATGGCATTGCAAAGGTACAGATGGCGGTGCTTGCTGAGATGCTCCTCAAAATTTTTAGACTAGAAAACTTGAGCGATCGTTGAAGCATAGACACCAGTGCCCGATGAGTCTGAATACCAATCCCTAATCATGTTGGGACTCCATTTGCGCGGAATCCCCTAGTCTTTTTCTAGGATGCAGGGGAGGAGAGGTGTCAAAGTCTGTTGCATTGGCCATTCCTTTCCTGCGACGGGTTTCCACTTCAGAATAAACAGGCTCAGACCTAGCTTGGGCCACTAGTAAGTGTCGACTGGCCTCCCCCATCTTTGCATTGCGATGAAACTTGTTGTAGCTGCCCGAGGAGTCGCCGGCTTTGTGCCTGACTTTTCTCTCGACGACAACTCAACATCGGTCGCCAGATAACTAGGAGTTCTTTTTGACTCCTGATACTGTTCTCTCGAAGGTACTGCACCAATTTGAGTAGGTTTTCTCTGTATGAGAATCAACTCCTTAGTGGAGACTCTTTGAAATACAATCGTGGTCTCAGAAACAAATAGAATATAGTCTGAACTTGTAGTCATGACGTCAACACGGTTGGTCGTCTCCTCTTCTCTCGCTTCCCTAGCAACTTCTGGGTAGACAACTTTCTTTCGCAGTTCCTTCCAAGAAAGCCGACCAGCCTCATCAATCTGTCGCCTCCTCCTTAGCATTCGACTGGGCCCACAAGGCTATAGTCATCACACTGAATCTAACCAGATCCAGGATCTGGTTCAACAACATTGCCTCAGTGTATAGGTGGACAAAGAGCTGCCTCCCCTCGACACCCCAGCCATGCCTTGAATGTGGCGAGGCACATATTTCTTTTGCACTGCACCGGTCGGATGAGACAAAACTCCCCAATCGCAAGGAGGAGGAAAAAGCACATCTTCCAATCTTTTATTTTATGCACAAGTCCCAATGGATGGAACTTTCCGGTTCACCCAAACACAACACAGCCGTCTAGCTCAACTTGGAAGGAGAACATGTGAGAAAAAATCTCCACGGACCATGGAATCTCTCTTCAGCGACAGTAGACGATGAACGTCATGATAGACACTATGGATTTGGGCTTCTTTTGAGACGAGATCACCCATAGTGGTTGAGCATCGACCACAACTCGTGGCAAAACAGCTGTCGAAGGCCCCATCAAAATTGATCTTGCTGGAAAATGAGACCCTTCCCACACTTATTAGTTGCCCGATCATCTGGTCCCACGAGTTGAAGTTGGAAGTCATCATTGAAAGTGCAAGCAACTTGGAGTAAAGGCACATACTTGAGAGATATTGACGGTATATCAGTCTCCGGGAACGATCCAGAAAGCTAGGGTGAGTACAAAAGCAAGGGATGCAAAGGAAGAAAATCAATAGACGGGAGGAAAGGAGGATCAGAGGCACAACGACCAACAATCCAACCCTCAACCCTTAAATATAAGTGCTAGAGTGAGGTGGATTGTCCCAAAAGTCATACCTCAATTTCGACTAATCACATCTCATCACATCAACATGGTTTTAAAGAATACAAAAAATAATTTCATTTGAATAAACATTAAATTTAAAGTATTATTCAAAAAAGAAAAATTTTACAACCAGTTCTTCTGCCGCTTCGACTGAGATGAGAAAGTCCTCGCCGAAGTTGCTTTTGATATATCACTTGGCCCCCAAACCTAAACCTATCTACACCACTTGCTTCGGCCTAGACCCGAACCATTAAACAAGTTTACCAAACATCCGCTAATGCCGATTGAACGTCCGCTACCTCCCTTCGAAGAGTTGAAACCTTGTCCCACAACTCCTCTAATTCTTCACCCCTTGGCATCCTAGCGATCCGAGCAGTCTTCCATCTCCTCTAGTCAGGGAGCCGGCGACTTAGGGGAAGTCCTTAGCCCAACAATCCCCTCTCTCTGGGTCGCAGAAGAGCCGACCGAGTGGTCCACCATGTTCTCACTCTGAATCTACATCGAGATCTCCTGAACCTGCCCCAAAGTTTCTCTTTGACCCTCATCCCCAATCGTCATAGCTACAAAAACAAACATCATAAAATAAGGAAAACAAATTTTACTAAGCCATGACAATCGAGTATCATGTATGGCTGTACCCAGAAGTAGATCCATCTAAGTCTATTGAAGTGAGAAATTGGTCTCGCCAGGTGGCGGTGAGGCTGCCGCGGTCCTCGGTCCCTCGGCCGGTCCAAGCATAGAGGCTTCAACAACTTTCTTCGCAAGGGGCCAACTAGCTCGACACGGGTCGCTGGGGAAGGTTGGGTCGACACGCTTGCAGCATGATCGATCAACCCACTCCAGCCCTCCACTCGGTTCTTCTCCCCCCGAATCCCTTAAAGAGTATGATGATCCCAACTCATCCACCGTTTCAACTCTCTTCTGCTTCTTCAAGGCCAATTTCTTCTTTGCGACCTTGCCTTCTTGTTTCTTGTTGGCCTCTTCCCTCGGGGGTCTTCTTTTTGGCAAATCTCTTCTCCCCCTCCGACGTCTTCTTCACCTCAGAATGGGGTTGGAGCTCAAGCAATCCAAAAACCATTCTTATCATCTTAGAGCATGTCAACTCGTCTGAAGGTTTCTAAGCACTCACATGGAATTGTGGGTACCGACTGACTCAACCGCACAGACACAGACAAAGATGATTGGCAAAAGCGTCAATAACGATCTATTTATAAAGGCTCTAGGCCAGAAAATAAATAGAGTGCAATTATTAAAAAGCTTTAATTAAGGAATAAATGAATCAACTTGTGTATTTAATTTTTATTGAAAAGCAAGATAATTGGGGAACTAAATATGTACACAGAAAAAGTATAACACGAATCTTGAAGAAATCCAACGAATATTAGGCATAATGGAACGCAATATAATGGGGCCAACAAGCAAAAGACCAAGGGCCCACGAGCGGAAGACCAAAGGTTTAACAGCGAAAGACCAAGGGCCAACAAGCAAAAAACAAAGGGCCCACGAGTGGAAGACCAAAGGCTTTACAATGAAAGAACAAGGGTTCAACGCTAGAAGACTAAGCATCCACTAGTGGGACATCAGAAAACCAAGCGTCCACTCGCGGAACACCAAAAAACCTGCTTGACCAAGTGCAGCCCACTTTAGCTGAGGGCGAAGGCTGACCCAGCGAGAGTCACCCGATTCAAAGCCCGTTGAGCCAAAAAGAGATGCCAAGCTAACTCTTGTCATGACCAAATTCGAGAAAAGGACATAATATTGCCAGCCGTCTCAACAGACGCCCCTAAGATTCCCCATCCAAGGTCGATAACTGGCCACAATGCAATTAACAAAATGTCCCAAAGGATCCATCTTGTCGAGGAGTATACTACCAATCAGATTACAGTAATTTACCCTTTGCCCAATTGCTTAATTTTATCTCATCGACAATAGGTTCTCACCCAGAGATCCTCATTTGACTGCAAGCCAGACGCAACGGACTGACAAAATAAGGCTAAAAGAGCAACCTTATGCCGACCTAAAGAAGAATTAAAGTCCAACTAGTGACCTCGATTCTTAACTATCAGAAGAGCAAGTCGTATCGAACCAAGACCCATTATGTCTGAGCTGACCGAAACATAGGACAATCGAGC